AAAAATGCACAATTCTATAGATTAAGACTTTCATACTTTAAAGGGCATTGTGTGCAATGTTAAAGGGACCCTAACTCATGACCTTGTGTTTGGAAAGGGAGATATGTGACTTTGTGGTTACTCTGAATCTGATTAGGATGATTCACAAGATACTCGCTCGATAACAGGCTAACTTATTTATCTTGGTGATAGCATTTGAAAACAAACTCACATGTCTCTAAGTCATCTATAAAAGCCAAATATCATGCATTGTCCACCATGGTATCAGAGGTAATGTGGCTTGTCTTTATTCTGACCGACTTGGACATTGATATGCCCCTCCAGTGCTTTATTGACAATCTGTCTGCCATCTATCTCACAAAGAATCTATTTTTCTATAAGAAGATGAAGCATTGATGGGTCCTTGATAGTTGATCATGTTTCCTCTGAAAACCTACACATATACTTTCTCACAAAGCCCTTGACATCACAGCTTTTTAAGTCTCTTATGTTAATGCTTCCTCTTACTACAACGAGCCTCAGTTTGAGGGGAGATGTTATATAAAATATAAAAATATAATATATTATTGGGCTCATGTCTAATAGCTAGCTCCTATCTCTATACATATTGTATCAAATCCTTCATGATATGGGAGCAATATAATTATTCTATCAGACATTACGCCTTTGTGTCATACTATGAATTCACATCTATGACATTACATATGGGCTTATGTGGGATTATGCATGGTAAATTGTGACATAATGTGATGTCATGTTTGGTCTTTGTTTGACAATAATGTAATGGAGAGTTAATGTAGCATTGTGATGTTGAAGGTGTAGATCGTTTTGGTGGTGGTGTTTGCGATAAGAATTATAATGTCGATGGTGACAATGAAAAATCAATGGCGGCAATGCCAAGTTCTGCTAAGGACCTTTTGATTCTCTTCTCAAATTAGAAAACTCAACAAGGAGGTGCCTCATTCCTTGTGCGACCCGACGTGGATGAAGGCAACCCAATCAGACGATGAAGCGGATCCCTATCCAGCGAAGTTCAATACGTCCGGCCTCCAAAGTCTTATGTGTGCGAACCCTTTTTTTTTTTTTACATTTCTTTCAGCAATAAAGAAATAAGGAAAATATAAAAAAGTGAATGGATGAAGCATTTGTTTATCAAACAAAGCGAGATTTCATTTTTGATGGCTTAAAAATCTGATTTTGTGGGTTCTCTTTCGCACTCCTACTTTTGTATATTATAAATATTTTACTTCTATTTTGTTCCTTATCCGTAATTCTAAAAGAGGGAGTGGTAATGCAATAATAATTTCGTTTCATACACATTTTTTAAATAGAAATCATCCTAAATAGGACTAAAACATAGAGAAAAGTACCAAAATAGGACTTTCATGTTTTTTTCCCGTAATAGGACTTTGCATTGTGGTAATGTGACTTTGCATTGTAGTAATGTGGCAGTGTACATGTGCAAATTACTATACTTTCTTGGTAATGTATATGACCATGTTTGGTAATGCAAGTCCTATTTCGAGAATAAAAAAACATGAAAGTCCTATTTTGGTATATTTTCAATATTTTAGTCCTACTTTGGTCTTTCTCCCTTTTCTAAAAGGGTACAATAATTATAATTTTATTTCAATAAGTACTTACATCTCTAGTTTTTTCCAACCAAAAAAGAAAATTTAACTTCTCTCCCTTCTTCCTTCTACCAATTAAATTAGTAAAAGTTTGAATTTTTACTCAATTTCTTTCCTCTTCACTTCCTTACTCATCCACTCCCTATTTCTTTCCTTGGGCAAACACTAACAAAGTAAAAGAATTATCCTAATGACCCGTTTTAGAGTTTGTTCTCATCAACTTTTTCTTATTCAAAAAATTAGATTAAATCAAATTAGAACAAGTCCAATCATATTAAGAGGGTGTTTGGAAGTGATTAGCTTATGGATAAAGTGATTTTTACAAAAGTTGAAAGCAAAAGCAACTTATACCTGCTTCTCCGAAACGGTGTTCCATGTACAAAATAATGTTGGTGAAAAGCAAAAGCTGACATGCCAGACAGAGTAAAATAACTTCCACTCAATGCAGAAGCTAAATTGTTAAAAGCATCGCACTGCCAAACACCCTCTAAATCTTGATCCAATTAAAGGCCGCTTTACCTAGAAAAGTGCATACGTCAATAACATTTGGTCTAATAACTTTTGACATACCATATATCTTACATGCCATATAGTTTTTGCATTCAATCACGTTTAATACGATTTTGTATAAAAAACCATCTAATTAACTAAAGCATCTAAACCATTTAACTAAATCATATGCTCCGTACTAGTTTCATCATGGATTTATCCAGTTTTGACTTTTACTTTCAAATTGACAAATATCGATAATTAATTAAATATAATTAATCATACGTATTGATAAAAAATAATTTTATTGATACAAATTATCTTTTATAATAATTTTAAAATAGTGTTTAATCTAATTAACACTATTTTAAAATTATTATAGGTCAAAAATTGATCTTTTTTAATGGTAAAAAGCTAAAACTAGACAAACAATTCAAGACGAAAGTAACAATGTTTACGTTGTTAGTAGGGACTGGGGAACGACATACTATCTCGTTATGTTTAATTAACATGCCCGCATGGGTAGCTCAACTGGTCCAAGAAGAGATGTCAAGCCCGTCGATCCTAGGGTCGATTCTCGACAGCGGCAGTACGAGAGTTCCATTATTTGTAAAAGCTCCTTATATGTATCGGGCACGTGGCGACCTTTTTAAGAATTAGATTAAGATTATATCATGATTTACCCTGCTCATAATTCTATCGGGCCGGAGTGTGGGGCGCCCGGGGTGGGCGCTCTAGCTTAATGTCAACATTGGAGCATGTGGATTGCTATATAAATGTAAGCATTAGTGGTCTTTATATCGGGCAATTTACTAATATAGACAGTTACGTTGGAGTGCAATTATGGATGAGTGAATAAATACTAAGTCCTGACTAATAATTACACTTAACCAACCAAAGTCGACCTTGTACATAAGAACCACATGATCATTGAAATTTTGTCCCATTTTTTTCATCTCATGATTGTGAAAACGTAGTGCATGTACCCTTCCTAGTACAAAGATTTTTAAATTTGGATATATCAATATGATATTTAACTATTAACGCTTGATATATCAAAGTTACATTTTAAAATTAGTTAGGATGGACCTTGACATTTTATGGGTCCTAGATAGCAAATTAAAAAAATGAGACCCCTCTTATTAATTTTTTTAAAATGTAATCTAAAAAAATTTGATAATAATAATAAAAAATTTAATACTTTCTGTTGATTTATGAATTAGGGCCGAGAGAGGGTTGGGTGGGTTGGGTGTGGGATCCTTGTGAGCATGGAGCGGAGTACACGGCGACGCAACCGGAAAAATGGGAAGGACACCAAGGAATGATGGAGATGTGACGGAAGACCCTGTGTGGGTGGAGACGGTGGAGTATGGAAACTGACTCTCTTGAAACTGGACATGACGAGAGATGTATACACGACCCGTGGAGAGATCAAAACAGCGATATCCTTTTGACGAGGAGTCGTACCCAAGGAAGACACAGGGTTTGGACCGTGGTTGGAATTTATTTGTGATTTCATGACGTAGACACGGATAAGCCAAACACCCAAAAACCCGGAGAAGATTGTAGTCTGGGGCTTTGTGAAACAGAGACTCATAAGGAGATTTGTGATTAAGAGACCTTTTTGGCATGCGGTTGATCAGGAAATTTGCAGTAGCCAACGCCTCAACCCAAAATTTTGCTGGGAGATTGGCTGTGCAAAGAAGTGTGACAAGAGTTTCAACCAAGTGACGGTGCTTTCTTTCAGCGACACCATTTTGTTCAGGAGTGTAAGGACAAGATTTTTGATGAAGAACCCCCAAATTTTGTAAAAACAGACCAAACTTTTTATTGACATATTCCCTCCCATTATCTGTGCGAAACAACTTAAGTCGTGCATTGAACTGAGTTTGAACCATAGATTGGAAACTAAGAAAAGCATCAAATGCATCAGATTTATTTTTAAGAGGGTACAACCAGCAAAACTTGGTATAATCATCAATAAAATTAATATAAAAATGATAACCTCCAAAGGAGG